GGATAATAATAATTAAGATGGTAGAGTGAAAATAAAGAATTATGCATAATTAATTTTCCATTAACGCTAAAACTGACTATATTCTACATGAATAATAATATAATATTTCTAACTATGTCACGGAAATAAGTAGGACACGTGTAATTAATTTCTATCTAAACAAAAATTAAAATTAATTTTTCTAGTATCAACTGTCTACTTTGGAAAATTGTAAAAATAAAATTTCCGAATCGAATCACTGTGATCCCTTAGCTAAGAAGAAAGCCAATCTCCTACGAAGCTGAAATGATGAATAAGATAATAGAATGTAAACGAAGAATTATATATAATTAATTTTCCATTAACACTGAAATTAATTATATTCTGAACGAATGATAATATTTGTAACGATGCCATGGAAATGAATAGACACTTGCAATTAATTTCTATCTAAATAAAAGTCAAAATTAATTTTCTTACTATCAACTGTGTATTTTTGAAGATTGTGAAAATCAAATTTCCAACTTTGTTCACACGTTCGTAAAGCAATCAGCTTTATTCCAACTGCGAGTGTACGTATCTCGTACGAAGCAGAAATGATTATTTCTCAGCCTTTTGATCAGGATGTACAGGGAGACAAAGAGAAAGAAAATTAAAGAGAGGGAACGGGGAGAAGAGACAGAAAGGAGAGAGATAAGGGGTGAAAGAGAAAAATAGTTTCGCCTTCGAAGAAACGAAGGCTGTTTGATGTAATTAGTAGTGAATCGTTGTACGCTTCCATTGAAGATCACTGTTTACGGAACATAAAGCCTCGCGCATGCTGCTCTCACCCCCCACCCCTTTTAATTACATCTCGTAGGTATAATTAGAGTCATTGTTCAGAGGAGCACGGGCTCGTATCGATTTATAAATATCTCTCGAGAATCCTGCTCTTCTTTTTCTCTCTCATTTCCACTCTTTCTCCGATTTCTTCTTCCTTTTCTCTTTCTCCCTCTCTCACCCTTGTCTCACTCGCGATGAACGTGGAAAATTACCGATCGTTTCACTCGAAAGGGTAATGTCTAACTAGTTTGATTGATTTTAAAGGGGGGAATATTGGATAAAATGCTGAAAGAGAATGAAAGAAGAGAAACGAGTTGAATTTTATTATTTTTTTCACCGTGTGGTGTTTAGTCGTATAGTTTTGCACGCAAATTTGTAGTTTCTTTTTTTATTTTTTGTAAATCGTTGTTTCGGGTATGGTGAATTTATGGGTTGTTTTACAGCAAGGGAAAGCGTAGCGTGTAAATATGTACGTTCTTCAAATTAAATGGCTCGAAGATTAGTATAAGGCTGGTAGATTATTAAAAAAATGTTCAAATGCCTGTTAGTAAATTTAAATTGGTACTAGAAAATGAGATTAATTAAGCTACGGTGTATTTAATATTTAATATTTGTTAATTTAATTTGTTAATTTAATACTTGTTATGTAGATCCCAAATTTTTGGTGTTAATGAAATGTCTACGAACGCGACTATTAATTTTAGTTAAGTATTATAATTAATTTTTAATATTTGTTAATTTAATATTTGTTATGGATTAACCAAATTTTTGGTGTTAATGAAATATCTACGAACGCGACTATTTATTTTAGTTAAGTATTATAATTAATTTCGACCATCGGGGACCAAAATGGCGTCATTGGCAAATTTTGTGCCAGTGACCCCCATGTCTGTAAATGTGTTCACTGTGATCTAAAAGTTGCAGATTAACAATCGCTATATATAGACTGCCTACTGTCAACGTAATAGTATATTAATGCAATTCGGTAATGAATTGAAAGAGAAATCGGAATCGAAATATATACTTAACATATATAATTATATCAATAGCCCCAAATTATCAATAAAAATGTAAATTTGTTTTAAGTTAATCAATTAAAAAAGACAATTTGACTACAAAAAATTAAAATACGGCTAAATTGAATCAAGCTATTTCGATTGTAATTAAAAACCTACATTAACTTAAATTCGATATTTCAAAATATTTACGAGATAGAGTCCCTCGAGATCATTTCTAAAATCGAATGGCAACCTCCTGCCGGAATTTAATAAAATCCACGCGATTAGTATTAATCATCGTTAGATAATTGTTATCGCATCGATTATGTAATTACTTCTACGAGTAATGTAACGAAATTAAAAAGATCTGTTTTATCTCGTGCTAACATCGATTTACATCGTAGCAATATTTACTCGACGAAGATAAAAATCCTACTTAGATTTGTAATTATTATACGTAAAATTTTCCAATTTTCTCTATATTGACGATTTAACTACAGCGACGACGCTTCGTACATGGCAGTTTTAATTTACGCTCGACTTATATTTTATAAAGAAAGAAAGAAGCGCTATCGTCGAAACAATTACATTGTTGCGTGTAAGCTTTGGATGGAAGCTTATCTGCGCGATAAAGCGGTTATCGAATTTTTATACGCGATAAAAATTGGCTAGGCAATGTAGTCGTGACCCCGCGAATACATGCAAATAGTTAATCAAACAGAACCCCAGATAAAGCTGGAAACATGTAGTATCCCGAGAGGAGTAAATTATGAACCGAACTGTTCCTCTCACCGTTTTCGTTCATCTCTTCTCGTTAATTCATCTCTCCATGCTCGTGTCCAGCTAGTATAAAGATATCCTGAAAATTTTTCTGCATCCTAATGATACATAATTATCACCGCCTTGAATCGACGGTAAATATCGATGTTAACACACTGCAAATGTTAATTGATCTTATGACCCTTAAAATATTGGAGTTCTACTTTATTGCCGCTTCAACGTTTGCTCCTATGTTAATTCGAGTGGAAAATAAGCGGAGATATTATTATAAAGTGGAAAAAAAATGGTTCACGTTTGAATTTTAAAAAATTATTTGTCAACGATATTCATTTCCATGGAAATACAACTGATTGAAATAACCGTGAAATAATTATTATTGATAATTAAATTAATAATAATTTGCCATAGAAAGGATGGAGAAAAATTATTTACAAAATGACTCATTACATTACTAACGAGTCTGCAAAGTTTAACGAATAGGATATACTACGAATGACGTATGAAAGATCTAGCAGATCCTATAACTCGTTTCAGATCCTTCAGACTAGACATAGGCAACGTACCATGGATTCGAGAGGGTAGATCGGTATAGATCCCTGGATCTCGAGTATACCGTGATTCAGATTACACAGTCTGAGAATCAAAGAGGTCGAGGCCCTCGAACCTCAGGCTAGACAAGTGTACGTTCCAAAGGTTATGAAGGTCATGGTCCCCAGTTCGTGGCGTGATCTTTGGCAGGTTTCGCTTTTCTATTATTAGTGTTTGCGGTTATCCTATTAATTTACCGCGTTTCGTGGTTCTGATATAATCCAATTATACCGTAGCCACTGCTCTACACTCGGTACTACCGGGAAAGTCCTCGTTAATCATCTCATCCACGAGTACATCCTCTCACCTGGCCTTCGCCGTTTCTGCTGTCTCGCATCAGAAGTATCAGACTAGTCGGAACAGACTCTTTCGTCAGACCCTCGTCTCTATAGTTAACGAGAGACACACTATTTCTGCTACAATTCACGACGACTTTTATCGAAATAGAAACATAATTATATATTCCAACTATCTATTTTGTGAGAGGAATCTTTATTTGGATGGCGTCACCCTGCATCGAGATCTATCTTTGCTTCGAGGAACCATCCAGCTTATCAATTCTCGAAGCTGACTCGAGTGACGCAATGGCTCGTCACAGGGCCTGTAAAAACCTTGCCGAAGGGTTCCACGAGACGACACACTTTTTGACAGTCCACCACGTGTCATAGAAGACTTCGAGTCTCCGTTTATTTGATATCACCGAGAAATATAAAATATAATCAGAGTCAAAAGTTCCATTTGACTTATTAATCCTATCTTATCATAGTTTTCGTCATATACTATTCCGGTATGCCTCGCTTAGTACACGGTTCTGGTAGATTTGACAGCAAATTGCTTTATAATCGAGCTAATTGCTCGAAGCGACCAAGTTCCTCAACTGCGTTTGATACGTTGGATAAAGAGAAGAAAAAGGAAGCAAATTGTGTTTTAATTAAAAAATTACACCTCGGTGAAAGCCACGCTCGACGTTCTCCTTGTAGGATACCAGTCTGTTAGAATTGCCTCACAGATCGCTCCTTCCTTTTCTCTCTCGTCTGCTCAGCCTCTCTCTCTTCTTCTTAGCTGTACAGTATCACGATATTGTATCGCATAATCCGATATTATTCAATTATATTGTAATTCATATGTTGTGGTCGTGAGTTGTCGTACGATGTATTTTGCCGATCAGTTGTCGCTGATTCGAAGTCTCGTGTTATAGGAGGATCTTGGCTATTCTGACACAGATGCGGTCGTGTCCTGTGATACCCAGGACTGCTTGTGTCAGGTTTCACAGTGTTCGCTGCATCTATCTCGTTTTGTTTCCAATTGACAGTGTGTCTGCCAGGCTCTGATGAACTTGCGGACGTCTCTACCGAATTATGTAAGCTTAAAAAGCTGTGTAGAGAATCTCCCGAATCCGGAATGTGCCTGTCAGCTGACGTGGTTATAGGAGCGTGAGAAACCTTATAGGATTTTAGGACTTCAAGTCATTAGAATATCCTGTACTCTGCCAAAGTTATCTATTCTTTAAATGATATTTACATTTGATAATTAATAATTTCAGAATAATTTTGAGATAGCATTGATCTCATTTCTGTTATTTACCTTATCTATTACCAAACAATTTTCATATAAAATTTCTTTGCAGGTCGTAAAATCTTGTAAAGGAGTTTCATTGGAATCCTGATACTTTCCCAAAATTCGCGACACAGAAATGTCTCTATGATTACACGTATACTTATTTTTAGTTTCATTGTTAATTCGTCAGCGTGACACGTACCCACTCAGAGGGAGCTCGTCAAAGCACCCCGATCCAACAATCAGCTCTAACCTCGACGCATTTCTGTTTCACAGAGAGACGACACGAGTCTACTCGCTCAGTTTTTCTACGCCGACGAATCTCTGAACGCGGTCGCCTGCGAGTTGGATTCGTTCGATGGTCGTCAGGAGCCAGAGAGATGCACCTTGTTGGTCAACCAGCTGCGTCACTGTCAGGACAAGGTGCTGACGATATGCAGTCAGATCATGGACGAGCTGATCCCGGAGAGCAGGGCGAACAGGGACTTCAGGGTGAAGTTCCCTGACGACGTGATGCAGGAGAACCTCGCTGGACAGCTGTGGTTCGGGGCCGAATGCCTGGCGGCTGGCTCCTCCATCATGAACAGAGAGGCCGAGAGTTCAGCCATGAGGCCACTGGCGAGGGCTTTGACAAAGTCCTTGGACATCGTGAGGAATTTGCTCAGGGAGCACGCGCTGAAAGGTCACATGAACCTCAAGGTATTTATGCTCGTCGAGGTGTCAACAACGGATCACCTGATCCTTTTGCGTTCGACTCGAAGGGTAGAGTTCGATTACCAGGCTTTACCGAGCGTTTTGTCCGGTGTTCGAGCGTGTCCCGAGACTTTAAAGAATTCCGGACCACCCGAAAGATTGTTTCTTCGAGATATTCCATCACGCTGGTATGACGCGTCCCATTTCCACGTGCCTTCCCCTTTCCTATCCGACAGGCTGGAGGATTACGTAAGTGCATTCGGGGCAAACGTTGAACCCTGAAATATTCAGGTTAGTCGAAGGAACGTGGGACTATTAGGCTCTGGACTTCCGCAGCTACGACTTCTCGCGGGGTTGCAGGATTGCTCGGTATTGGGTGCAGTAGTTCCTCTATTCACCACTGGGAGAGTCCTTCTTGCGAATTTAATATTCCATTCATATATATATATTTTTTTTAAAATAAAAATTTGCATGGAAATTTTATTTTTGTCTCGTTATCGGGACCCCGTAATTATTTTTAAACGATGGGAAAATTTAAAAGAAAATATTATTCGTGAGGTATTTCAATCGAATCCGTCATTTCGCGAAGATAGGTAGATAAAATAGAGTTTCCATTGAAATTCACCGCGCGAGAGCACACTTCGAACTTGCTTTTCAACGCATACTCCGCATTACCGAGTGCGCGCAACTTTCTCTTTCGCGCGATACTCTTTCGAGGACGTAGTAATTATTCGAGTGTCGGTATTCCTCCTTTTTTTTTTTTTTTTTTTAAAC